ATAATACCAGATGATATACATCACAATAGCACTTAACATACTTTAAGGACATTCAATATGGCACAACGGTCTTTTCCTCTATAGTCTCAACTCCTTTTATCTTTGATAACCTTTCAAGTCTAAAATGCAAGATGTGGCACATGGTAACGACTGCCCAACTGTATGACTGACACCTTAAAACAGAGGTCAGCAAACTTTTTCTGTAAAGAGGCAGGTAAATAAACATTGTAGGTTTTTAAAGGCATATACTCTGTTGCAATCGCTCTCTGCAACTAAGTAAACGGATTACAATGTATTCAAATAAAACTTTATTTGCAAAAACAGGCAGTAAATTAACTTATTTTTAGCCTAACTTTCTCATTTCTTCATTCTGTAACAGTGGACTCCAGTTTCAGCTTCCTGGAAAAAAGAAGGGCCTCCCACACACTAGCTATGTAGACCAAGCTGGCCTTGAACTCACAAGCAATTCACCAGCCACTGCCTCCCAAGTCCTGGGATCAAAGGCATGCACCACCATGCCCCTCTAACTTCAACATTTAAAAAATTAAAAGGAACATTTAAGGTCCTGAAAGCCAGTAAGGATTATCTAAAACTTAGGAAAACCTTTAATATCAATTACTGACACTGAAATTACTAATAAATTGTATAATCTTACAGAAAATAATAATGTAGTACCCTTTCTTTGGATCTAAAACATCTACTTCCCACTTCCCACCCTTCCAATGGGGACTGGACCATTAGGACTCTACCAGCTCTTTCTCTTTATTTTTTAAGAGAGGGTCTCTTACAAAGTTGTCCAGGCTGGCCTTGAGCTTACAATCCTCTGCCTCAGCCTGCAGAGCAGCTAGGATTTCAAACTTGCACCACCGGGCCCAGCTTAAAACATGCTTTCAACATGATGGGGCTTCTTGTTGCTGTTTTAATCTTAAATTAAGGTTAGGTTATTTCTTAAAAAAAAAAAAAAACAAAACTCAAAAATATCTCATTTTGTCAGCCATATGGTCTCTGCCATCATAGCTCAAAGGCAGCAACAGATAATATGTAAACAATGTATGTGTTCCAATAAAGCTTTATTTACAAAAAAAGCAAGAAAGTTGGATTTGGTCCACTGGTCCTAATTAACTGACTAGTGTTCGAAATGTTAGCAGATAGATAATGATTCCAAATTAGCTTCACTACTTTATTATTTCCAATGTATATAAATCAGAGAAAAGTAAGCAGCACTTTTTGG